ATTATTATTATATATATATATACATATATTATTAACATTAATTATTACATATAAATATATATGTATATATATATATATGTTTATGTATATACGTATATATTGTTAAGGCCGAACAACTGCTATTGAAAGGATTTCCTGAGAAGATTGTCAAGTTAAATGAATTATTGGAGACACCTGGATTTTGTAACAGAAAACTGTCGGATGTTCATCAAGATTTAAATGTGCCTATTCCAGATCCAATAATTCTTAATCATTCCGAATATGTACCTTCCGCTAAGAAACCTAAAGCAGACAATAGCATAGACAATACCAGTGGAACTAAAGTAATGGCATTACCAAATGGACCTGTACCATGTAACAAACCTCTGTGCGATCTCATTTGCATAGTTAAACCTCATATTCGACAATTGCTGGAAGATTCTAATTTGGTAAATATACCAAAGAATTAACATTAATTGTTGAAGGCATTTTATCTGTATCACATACCAGTCCAAGTACACGCATACATAAATTTTCAGTTGAAAATGTGGGTTTCCTATTTAATTCCAAAAATAGAAGATGGAAATAATTTTGGAGTATCAATTCAGGAAGATACACTTGCGGAAATACAGTCCGTTGAAAGCGAAGCTGCTGGATTTTTTGATCAAATATCTAGGTAATATTCATGATTATACCTTTAGGAATTGAATTCTTTTAACGCTTTGCTGTTCATATGGTGAAATCATGCTTCCCTTTAATCTTGTAAAAGGAGATCACAAAGTGTTAATGATAAATTGAGTAATGAAACAACAAATTTTATATTTGGCAGGTATTTCATCTCTAGAGGAAAGGTTATCAGTAAGGTTGCCAAGTATCCACACATTAGCGACTATAGAAGAGCAGTCCAGGAGTTAGATGAAAAACAGTATGTGAGTTTGTGGCTGGTTATATGTGAAGTCCGTAATCGTTATTGTTCTCTACATGACTTGGTAATCAAGAATCTGGAGAAAATTAAAAAACCTCGTTCTTCTAATACACAATCCTTGTATTAAACTATACATTATACATATTATTTATAC